CAAATATTGCCGGTTCGATAAGTTTGTGATTCGGTAGTGATAAACTTTTGATTTGGATGTGAATTACTGTAATTCACTGCCGAATCACAAACTTATCGAACGGCAATATTTGTTCGGACCATTTTTTGCCAGGTGTCCCAGAATTTATGAAAACAGCTTTTGTCACTCGATCGTAATACCTAAAACATGAAATACACACTACGGGATTTCCTTGCTGCTCACGTGGTTAATCACAACTGTTTATAGAATCGATTTTCTATATACCATTAACTTGGCTACTCGATATCCAACTTGCCTAGTTGGGCTATCGAATTTTTGTAATTGATATCCGACCTGTCCGGACGGGTTATCAAAGCTTTAATGACTACCAGAATCCCAGTGGTGGGTGGGTGGGAAATTACTACAAAGCTAGACTTTTCGTCGAGCTAGCAGCAAAGACAAAAGAGGAGGACCTACTATTTACTCCCACCACTCTAAATAACTATCAATCGCTGACCTAATACTTACATATCGAAATCTTACATTTCCTATTACTCCATACTTACGTTAACGTTACTTCACAAATCTGTCGCTTTCTCATACTTACTATAATCAGTAATTGATTATTGTACGTATCCTGTGTGGGTACTGATCTCGTGACAAATGGATGCCTCGTGACTTTGTTCACGGCATCTCAGTAAAAAAAAATTCGACTAAGCCGACTAAACCAATAAAATTTTATCGGTTTAACCGGTCGAAAAATTTTGATCGGCTGGGATCACTAGTTCTCTAAATAGCAAGCACCAGGCAATCAGATGAAATTCTGCCTAAATATCAGTAAAGATTAATAATAATTTAGTTACAACGATTTTATTCTAAACATGCTTCGTAATAAAAAATTTATTGGCGAGCCAGATCGTAATAAACAACGAAAAAAAAGACAACTTGCTCAGAATATTAAAGATACAATAGAAGTAAAAAAAGATTTTGTCAACGTTTTCTCGGATGAATTAAACCTTCACGTTTTCAAATATTTATCAGCAGCAGAAATAAGCATTTGTTCTCAAGTTTCACGAAAATGGTGGAGACTTGCTAACGATCGGCAGGTGAGCAATTTGATTAATGATTTATTTTTTTGAATTATTACATATATTTATCTTATTTTGTTTTTTTTTTTCGATTTTACTAGTTGTGGAAAAGTCTTTTTTTATCAAGATTTAAAGCTCCAAATCGCCCTAATCTCACGTATCGCTTGGAAACTCTTCAATTGACACAAACGCAGTTGACTAATCCACCTAAACTATCAATAATTGCTAGTAACGAATGCCCGAGTGAAAATGATCTTTCGGATAACGAAGATTGGAAAAGTATATATCGAGTTAATCACAATTGGCAAACCGGAAATTGTCGTGTTATCGATTTTAAACCTTATGATAATTTAATCCAAGATCGTGCTCCTAAATCTTATTCACATTTAACTGGATATAATAAAACCCAAGTGTTTTCATTAAGTACAAATTCCAATCCACTCGTTCAATTTACAAAACATATTATCTTGACTGCTTCATCTTCAAATTCTGATATAAATAATACACCAGAAGTTCATCTATGGCGAGCTGGAGAACATAATGAATATATAGATACTCTGAAAAGTACAGTTTTATCTCGTTTTATCATAAATCACGAATGTAAAAATCCTATCTATATAACATGTCTAAAACTTGATAGCAACGAACGAAATGTTCATTTAGGCATATGTAAACTTGCTGTTGGATATTCAAATGGAGGGTTTACCATTTGGGAGTTTGATACATTAGAAAAAGAAGAAAAGAAAAAACCTGAAAATAATCGAAAGCATCAAGAATTATATACGGTTCCAACGATGTCACATAATACAAGCCCTTTAATTGCGTGCTCTTTACATTCGCCAATTTTAATCACTTGTGATAAAGATTTCGTGCTTTCAATTTATTACATTGAATTCAAGCCAAAAGGTAAAGAGAAATCAGGTTCATCTAAAGATAGTAAAAACTTTTTGAAGTGTGAAAATCAAGTTGAATGTCATCTCATTCATCAATTGAAGAGTTTTGTTTGTTGGGCACCTATTGAGATATCTGTTAAGTGTGCCCAAGAGAAGCTTGAACAGTTTACAACGAATTATGATGTTGAGCGGAACATTTGGATAGCTACGATTGTTTATTCTTCTCCAATATACGGAGGAGGTTGGACCGCAGGGATTCAAGAGATCAGGTTTTCAACTATTGCACTACTATCGACCAAACATTGTTCACATTTACCATCTTCATCAACTCTACCACCATTTATTTCTATATTTTCAAATCATAAATATAAAGAAGGACATACACATATTTCCATTTCTCCTATAACAACCATTACATACAACTCTGGGCAATTAGTTACGGCTCATGCTGATAACACATTACAAGTGTATGGTGTGGTTGATAATGGAAAGACTTTGGAATGCAAACATATTCAAACATTGTACGGGCATACTGGAAGCGTTATGTCTGTCGCTATGGACGAACATGGTAAATTAATTACTGGTGCTATGGATCAAACCATCAAAATATGGGATTTAGGTCAGAATCCAGAAAAAACTTATAATTATCAATATAATAATGTTGAACATTATGATGATTATGATAATATAAAAGAAATAAAAGGGTCTCAATATAATCAAAACGATGATTTTTCGTCTGTTGGATTAATTGCACGAAGAAAAAAACATGGTGAATGTATTGTTACGTTGAATGATTCTTTAAATCAATTTAATAACTCGAGGTACAATATTCTTCAAGGCAAAATAAAAAATTGGGGTATTAAATGGGTTGGTTTTGACGAAGGCCGAATTGTGAGTGTCTGTAATGGTGAGACGTTTGATGATCAAGAGAATAAAATTGAAAAATTTCCAAAATCATTATCATCGTCATCTGAACGGTCAGAACCGTCCTGTTCTAAGAATAAAATAACAGGATCTAATTATGATATAGTAGAAGAAGTGGGAATTATCAAAGTTTGGTCATTTTGTGAATAAAAGAAAAATTTTAATGGATATCATTGTAATTGTTAATTTAAGTCTATAATACTCGTCTATTATTGTCCCAATAAAATTTTGCATTCATATGCTAATTGCAAATTATTCTAGAACTTAAAAAATTTATGTAAAGCTACATTTTTTTCCTCTTTTTTTTTTTTTTTTTTTAATTTTTAAATTATATTATAGAATTAAAATATTAGGAAAAAAATAAAAATAACAATAATAATTATATTGGTTCTAAAATAAAATGACCCATTTCTATGTGGTCCGCCAAATTTGTATCCCAATCGTACATTACAAAAATAACCATAACAGGCTATATCTCAATACTGTATAAACCAAATCAATTAATTTTTATTCAATTTCTACATAGATGAATTATTGAGATCATAGAATTGGTTTAGTAATCCAATTACACCACCGTGTCGTGGTCGATCAGGTTCACTAGGATCAGATAAAGGCGCAGAACCACCATATTTTGTTCCGGTTAAAAAGTATGAGCCGCTCAAATCATCTTGACTCGAATCAGGTGACCTTTGAATATCTGGAGCGGACTTATCACTAACACGATATCCACTTTGTGATGTGTATGATGGTTTATCTTCCATCGCGGAATTTACACCAGCTCCAGTGGTAGCACCACTTGCATAAGTATAGTGGGAAGCACCAGGTGGATATCCGAAATGAACATTATTATTACTACGTCGATTATTCTTTAATATTGAATCTATAGGAGCAGAGCGAATCGAATTATGACGTTCTGAATGTGTCTGGTTGCTGAAATTAAGTCGACTAAGATAAAGCGATCCAGCTGGATCGGTAGGTTCCCAATCAGGGTGATTAGCCTTCAGAATAAATTAAATAAATAATGAATTAAACTTTTTTTGGCATAAAAATATCGAGAATAGTAAATCTATAAAGTTATACTGACCTTAAAATTCAAAAAACTTTTTTCCATTTTACCATCTTTCGAAAGATAATATTCGTTCTCGACCTCTGCTGGGGCACCATACTTCAAAAATTGAAAATTGTCAACCAAAACCAAATTACCTATAAACGATATTGTATAATAAATCATGTATTCAATGACCAAGGTCAGGTCAGAAAGCTTTTTGTTAAAGACACCAGAGGCGTACAAAGAAAGAGATTGACTCAGGGGTATGTCATTATAATGTAGACTTTATCATCTAAATAATCTTTAGTAGCTGTCGATTTATAAATTCTTTTTAATATTCGTTACATTGTTGCAGTTTACGTCGTCGCTTCATCTTCATGGGAATTCTAAATTTCGTATTCGCTCCTTTTCTAGTGGTTTATCTGCTTATATTTTTCTTTTTCCGTTATTTTGAGGTATGCTTTAAATTTTTCAATTTAATTTTTACAATATATTTGCAATATTTGAATATCTTGATACCGTTCTCTTTAGGAATACCGTAATAATCCCAAGAACATTGGCATACGTCAATGGTCTCCCTTCGCTCGTTGGAAGTTTCGGGAGTTTAACGAATTACCTCATTTATTTAATCAGAGATTGAACAAAAGTTATAAACAGGCTAACAAATATGTTGACCAATTCCCAAGGGAAAAAACGGCCTTGCTTTCAAAGTAATGTTATAACCTTTTCTATTTATCAAATTGATCTCAAACGGTCTTATCGAATTATTATATATATATTTTTTTAAATTAAGGTTTGTATCCTTCATAGCTAGTTCACTCGCTGCTGTATTACTTCTCGCCAGTATTATCGATTCTGAGGTCTTTTTGGGATTTGAAATTACACCCGGTCGTAACGTTTTTTTTTATCTCGGACTGTTGGTTCCGATTGTGGCTATTAGTCGTGGGATGAGCGTGGAAGATCACGTGGTATTTGATCCAACAGCCAGGTTAAAGAAAGTTGTAGAACATACACATTATTCTCCCGATAGTTGGAAAGGAAAATTAGATACCGATGATGTATGAAATACTACCTATGTTTTTATATCAAAATGTAAAATTTTTTATTTACGTTACAATCAATATAAACATTTCAGGTCCGCAGAGAATTTATTCAGTTGTTTCAAGTCAAGATTATGCTTTTTATTCAAGAAATATTAAGTGTTATTTTTACACCATTCGTTCTTTGGTTTTCTCTTCCGGATTGTAGTCATATCCTTTAAGAATTTAATTTGGTATTGACATCTATCAATAATGCCCTATATTCTTAACCGTATTTATATGCTTTATTGCACAGCAAATCGTCGATTTTTTTAGAGAATTCACCGTTCATGTAGACGGCCTTGGCTACGTTTGCAGCTTTGCGGAATTCGATTTCAAGCGGCATGGAAATGTGAAGGTAATTATTAGTAATCTGAAAATCGTTTATAGGTAATTTGGTTTTGGTTGACAATTTTCAATTTTTGAAG